AAATTTTAACTCCTCGAGTGCTACTTTGCCTTCCTGATAGCACTTGTAGTTTAAAAGAGCATAATTTTTCACATTTCTGTATAACCTTGGCCTCTTTTCGTCTATCAAGGCTTCCACAGGTCCTATCTTAATGCAGATCACGTGATGAATTTTAAAAATTAAACAAATAAAAATGTTGCCACTGCCAACTCTCTTTTCTTTTGGGACGCTAAAACGGTAGCCCTTTTCGAAGACCCAAAGCCCAAAGGGCCGAACATCCGACGTTGTCAAAGCCCCAATTTTGGAGGTTGCCGATTCATCCTCGTCGGGTGCATAGGCTGAGAGATTTCTTTTTTGCAAAACACGCCATGATTTCTCATCCTTTTCTCCATCGATCTATTTCCAAGCCATCTCTTTCCCTTCTTTCCTCTCCCTCTCCACCTCTCCTCGAATCTCTCTCTTTCCTTCCAAAAACACCTTCAGAACTCATATTTGTCCACTCGGCTAAACCACTCCGTCTCAAATGTTGCTCCACCACTCCCGCATCCGAACTCGATCCATCCGATGCCCGACCCGTTTCCTCCCTCAAGATGGCCATCATTGGTTTTGGCAACTACGGCCAATTCCTTGCCAAAACTCTTGTTTCTCAGGGTCACGAAGTTTTAGCCCACTCGAGATCCGACTATTCCCATCTAGCCAAAAAGATGGGAGTTTACTTCTTTAAAAACCTCGACGACTTATGTGAACACCACCCAGAAGTCATACTCCTTTGTACTTCGATTATTTCGACCGAACGAGTTCTCAAAACTCTTCCTTTACAGAGATTGAAACGATCCACTTTGTTTATCGATGTTTTATCCGTGAAGGAGTTCGCTAGGAACCTGCTCCTCGATGTCTTGCCTACTGATTTCGACATCATTTGTTCGCATCCCATGTTCGGACCACAAAGAGCCAGACAAAGCTGGAAAGACCTCTTCTTTGTCTACGAGAAGGTTAGAATCAGGAATGAATCCTCCAGGGTCCAAAGGTGTGAACAATTTCTTGAAATATTTAGAAATGAAGGGTGTAAAATGGTGGAAATGAGCTGCCAGGAGCACGACCAGTTTGCAGCGGGGTCACAGTTTATGACACACACGATTGGGATAGTGTTGGACATGTTGGGCTTAGAGTCAACGCCGATTAATACCAAGGGTTATGAGGCTTTATTGAATTTGGTGGGAATACTTGTGGGGATAGCTTTGATTTGTACTATGGGTTGTTTTTGTATAACAAGAGTGCTTTGGAGATGGTGGAGAGGTTAGATTTGGCCTTTGATGCTTTGAGGAATGAGCTTTTTGGCAGGCTGCATCAGGTTGTGAGGAAACAGTTGTTTGAGAAAGGAGAGAAGGTAAAGAGTCTGCATGATGGTAGTTACCAAAATGATGCTGCATCGACTTTAAGCTCAAATGCTCTGAGGTATTTCGAGGATTTCACTTTTGTTTCTTTAATTGTTGGTTCAATTCAACATGAATGGCATAGATAGTAGCTATTCATTTAGCTTTAAAATGCTAAGACTCTCTATATCAGTTGAAGGTGAATACGCAAAATCACAAAGAATTTAGAATCTTTCTTTGTTTTACAAGGCTGTTATGCTTAATGCTTCGGTTTTGATAGTTGTTTAAATATTAAATTTGTAGAGTTTGGTTAGCAATGGATATTATCATTTTCACATATAGTGATTGTAGTAAATGTGGCTATAGAAGTACTTATTATTAACGTTGTCAAGGGCGCAAAGCACACTCTAGGCCTTTAAACCCTTATTTTGCCTCATGCGCAGGATGCTAAAAAGACGCTTGCCTGAGTGAAGTAAAGCAGAATATGTATATATGTGAGTTTTCGTAATATATATATATATATATATAGGGGTTAGGATCCACTTACACAATGTAAATTTTTTTAGTTTTACACAGATTTAGGATCATTGGATGAGTGAAAATAGATGGATGAGATTGTTATATACAAAGTATATAGTTTGATATTATAGTTTTCTTACTGGTAAAGCTGTATCAAATGAAAGAAAAAAAGTGAAAATAAAAGAAATTAAAGAGAAATTCAATCAGATGGGCTTTTTCTATACCTACCACCTTACAAAAAGGCATACCTAAGTCAAATGGGCCTGGCCTGAAGCGGTATGACGCGCTTTTGTTGAATAATGCTAAGACACAAGGCGCAGGTGTGCCTAGGTGCATGCCTTGACAACACTTTATTAAGCTCATGGACTGGATTGCTAGGAATGAAGTGTTTCAAAATCTTTTTTCCTCCTTGACATGTTTAATTTCATATTTAATTCATAACAGTTTGAGATGTTTACAATTGATCTAGGATTAGCAGACTTTTAAAACTGCTTGGGAGAAAGTAAGTTGGGATTATTGTGCTGCAAGTTGTTTAATATATTTATGATCTTTTACTGGAACTTTCAGATCTCAAGATATTATACCTTATGAATTCAAAGGAAAGATATCTGAAAGTGTTGATGACAGTTCAAAGCTAAAGATTGCGATTGTTGGATTTGGAAACTTTGGCCAGTTCCTCACAAAGATTATGGCTCGCCAGGGCCACTCAGCTTTAGCCTATTCTCGAACTGATTACCGGGATGCAGCTAAAAAATTGGGGTTTCTTTCTTCTCTGTTGCTAGACCTCTGTGAAGAGCATCCAGAAGTTATTCTCCTCTGCACCTCGATTCTTTTGACTGAAAAAGTTCTGAAGTCAATGCCCTTTCAGAGATTGAAGAGAAGTACTCTGTTTGTCGATGTACTATCAGTGAAGGAGTTTCCAATGAATTTATTTATTCAACATCTACCGGAAGAGTTTGATAATCTATGTACGCACCCCATGTTTGGACCCGAAAGTGGTAAAAATGGATGGAATGGGCTTCCTTTTGTTTTCGATAAGGTGAGGATTGGCAATGATGAAAGACGTGTAGCTCGGTGTAATAGGTTCCTTGATATTTTTGCCCGAGAAGGATGTCAAATGGTGGAGATGACTTGTGCAGAACATGATCGACATGCGGCAGGTTCACAGTTCATCACCCATACGATGGGAAGGGTGTTAGAGAAGCTACAATTGACCTCGACACCAATTAACACAAAAGGTTATGAGACATTGTTGAAGTTGGTGGAGAATACATCTGGAGACAGCTTTGATCTTTATTATGGGTTGTTCATGTACAATGTAAATGCAATGGAACAACTTGAGAGAATGGATTTTGCCTTTGAGTCATTGAAGAAGCAGCTCTTTGGTAGATTGCATGGTGTTCTTCGGAAAGAACTGTTTGGAAATTCAGAGGAGCTCGAGGTATTGCAGGAGAAATTAGTTAAGCAAAATGGTTGACTTTCACCTTCTCCAGAGATTGCTAAAATCAGCTAGCTTTATGTTTTTGTTTCATCAGTAAGTTATATGGTTAATCTTCCTTTATCTTATTGTCCATTTCAATATCTGTTCATTTTCAAAAGATCAAAATGCCTTTGAAGCCAAAAGTTCAGAAATCAAAGCTTTTGTGTTGATTGATAAATATCATGCTTGTAATATGTAACTGTTGCGACTGTTTCATTCCATATACTTGTCATGTGTAACTTTTTCTTTCTGTTGCATTCGATTGCTTTATTTTAAATATTTAATAAGATCAAAATGCCTTTGAAGCCAAAAGTTCAGAAATCAAAGCTTTTGTGTTGATTGATAAATATCATGCTTGTAATATGTAACTGTTGCGACTGTTTCATTCCATATACTTGTCATGTGTAACTTTTTTTCTTTCTGTTGCATTCGATTGCTTTATTTTAATATTTTAATTAATGGATTTTTTGCTTGGACACAGATACTTTATGCACCATTGAAGTCGAATCTTGTTTGTTGTTCTTGGCTGTACTCTGAGTTGCTAAAAAATAAATTCTGGCCCCATTAATTTCATCTCTTCCTGTCTCCCCCTTTTAATTAGCATAATACTGATGGATACAATGCATCTATGGTGACTGGGGCGCCTACTGCTCACTTTGGAACCAGCGGTCTGCCAACCTTATGCCCGCCATTGTAGCTGCAAAAGTGAAGGCTTCTTTTTTCTTTATAATTTATTTCCAATGCACTGTGGGAAGCAATAATGATGCCTATAAGAGGTTCTGTTTCTGAATAAATAGAAGGAAATTGTAGATTAGGAAAACAAACATGAGCGTGAGATACAGAACATTAGGACAGGAAGAATTGCCAGAAGTTAATAATGAAAGAATCGTTGATGATCCGATTCCAATTGAGGCATGGCCCTAGGAATGTGATGTTTAACTCAAACTTTTGTTGACTTTATTCGATTAGCGGACTCTGAGTTATCCATTTGTTGGAGGATTTTGTTGGTAGCAGTTTGTTTTGATTTCTATTTATTCTTTGGAAGGGAGATGGCGATTGTTGTATCATTAAATTTCTGTTACTTTAGCACTCCATTTTGTTGATAGTAGGAGCTGTACCAAATAAGTTCCCAGATTTCACTGGTGATTATTATAATAAGAGAATCTACCGATTCCACTGATTCATTGTTAGTAGTTTAAAATCCGGCATGTCTTTTCACTTTTAATAATTGCACAATGGATGTTTTTCTGCAGAAACTTGTCTGAATCAGCAATGCTCTTTTGAATCTTTGGGATTTTCGGTATGTTTTTAACTGATGGTCATTACCATTCCTTGGGCATGCACTAGGACCCTTTTAAAAACATTCTATATGGTGTAGAGTACACATAAAAACCATTTCATAATGAGAAATACATGATTAAACTCCATGCTTTAATAGGCTTAAATTCTCCATTGATCACTGTTTCAGCTTTATTTTTCTGCTTCTGGATAATCATAGGCAAATAAGCTTGATTAAGTTACATCCAAAACAAGGCAACAGTACACTAAAACTAGCTATATAACATTCTTCCAGATGAAGGTACTGCACAGAGGCATGCATCAGAATCTAATAAAGCGCCTTAAAGTTAATCCCTTACATGATGCCATATTTCTATGCATGGAATTTTACTTCCTCAAGTGGCACTTTGCCTTTCTGAAAGCACTCATAGTTGAAAGAAGCATAATTCTTTACAGTTCTGTATAACCTTTTCCTCTTATCATTTATCAAGGCTTCTACAGGTCCTGTCTCCTTCTCCGGCTCTGCCTCATTAAACGTTGCCACGGATATCCTCAGCTTGTCTTTGTTTGTCACCACCCGGTGCACTGGGCTCTTGAATATCCCATTACTCATTATCTGCATCAATTAATACGTATCAAACAAATTCCATCACTTCCTATGGTCGAACTTTAGGATGCAAAAGTCATATGGCTCAAACTTTAATATACTTGCCTGCATTTGGTCTCCAAGGTTAACAACAAGAGCATGAGGGATTACAGGAACATTGATCCATCTCTCATCTTTGACGATTTGAAGGCCTTTGACTTCTTCATCTTGCAATAAGACCGTCACACCTGATCTATCTGAATGAGGTTTGACACCGAGAACTTTGTCTGGTTTTGAACAAGGTGGATAGAAGTTGAACCTCACTTGCATTACCTGGTTGTCTCCAAACTGACCCGAGAAGCTATTCTCTTCTAAGTCGAGTGATTTTGCCATGGCCTTAAACAGGAGATCCATCATTTGCTTTAGCTTGGCGGAATACTCATGCAAGACCTCTCTGTAAGAACTCAATTCATAGCTCACAGTTCACAAAAGTATAAATTATCAACAAATCACAAGCTATAAGAATGCAGTAGTTCATCTCTGCTGTTAAGTGTAGATTCTTATACCTGAAATTATCTGGTTTTTCAGGCCAGAGATTGAGCTTTCTTTGATTTTCAGGAAATACCCTGAGGAACAAGCGACTGTTCCAGTCAAGAACTTGCTTTTCTGATACCACCACATCGTGGCCATAACCTTCTACCCCATTAGCTGCTCTGGAGTATTTCAGCTTCTCTTCCTGTGGGAGTCCAAAAAATTGTTTTGCAACTCTACGGACTTGGTCCATAAATGAACTTGACATCCCATGGCCGATAGCCTAACACAACACCATTTGAAGAGAAAATATACACTGATAAAGGTTCATGAGAGTAAATGGAAACGGGTTTTGAAGAGAGTATAGAACCTGGAAACACCCCCCTGATTCCAGAGCCAATCTGAGTTTTTGCAGTTCATCTTTCGAAGATAGCAGAAGACTAAGATCAATGATTGGAACCGAAACAGACGATGGAAGATGAGAAGAATCAGTGCCTCCCAAACTGCAATCTTTGACATGAAATTCTGGGGGTGGCTCATCACCATTGATGGACATCTCCTGAACACTCTTAGACAATGAAACTCCATCAAAGAAAAGTGACTTGCCTGCCATATTTGCTCTCAAAGCAATGAAAAACCTTCTAGGAACTGCAGCTTGTTAACTGAAGTGTCTATGACATGCAATGGGTATGTCGTGTTGTGGCTTGGACCATTACCCCTGCTTTTATTACAAAACGACGTGGAGTTGCAGTTACGTAGGTAGCAGGGGACCATCAGTAGATTCCTCTCCGTTAAAGAAAAAAAAAACATCGATGAAATCAAGGACAAATGATTTCATGTTATGGACCAATTTTTAAAATTTTATGAGGGTTTTATACTGGGACTAAAACAGATTATCAGTTAAAAATACAAAGAAAACATTTAAAATTAAAAAACAAATAAAATATTTAAAATATATGTTAATTTAAAATTTTCAGGAATGATGGTCCTGCCTACTCCCTAACCATCCCTAAATGGAATCTTTCAAACGATGAAGAAACTTGTCAAACTTTCATTGTTATCTTTATTTATCCAACCACTTGATGGAACGAAACATAATTAATTTGTCAATATGATTTCATTGTTTCCATTTTACAGGGCATAGAGAGTGTAGAAAATTATTGCTTACTTGTTAATCATTTCACGTTATTCTTGGATCATTTTAATAATAAAAATGACGGGATACATGTTATGAAGCACAAATTTTTTTAAGCAAAGTTGCTTTTAAATAATTAAAGTAAATAACTTTGTCTTGCTCGTATCATGTTTCAATCTTATATTTGACACAGAGGTTATATGTGTGTGTCATTTGACACCATTTTCTTAAGAAATTTTATTTGATAAAATTTAATTAAAAAATAAGATAAAAATGCCTCACTTAAAAATAATTGATACTACTTAAAAATTATAACTGTGATGACTCAAATTCAAATTTTTTGATAAGTAATAAATATAAAGAGATTAAATTTATGAGATAATTTTATATAAATAAAATCCTTTTGAGTCAAAGTAAACAATACTTTATAAATGCTTAAGTCTATATATACCATATCTTATCCTTAAAATTTTTAAATATGAAATTAGAAAGTAAACACGACACACAATATTTAATAATTGGAGCCTAAATTTTGCTTTTCAATTAATAAGTGAAAGTACCCGGGTAGGCTCCCTACTATCATGAAGTAAGCAAATATGTAACAACCCGGAAAATTTGAAGAAAAAATAATGTTTAAATCGGCGTATTTGGTGACTAAATTAAAATTTATGAAAATTTATAGATCATTTTAGAAGTAAAAGAAATTTAGGGATTAATCCCTAAATTTAGCCAAGGAGTGTCGACACCTTTCAACTTAAATATGTGAAATGTGTTTCATACAAGAAACAATTGCAAAGCTTTACTCTACCGCACCTCCTTTCAAGCCTGATTCCGATACCGTCCGACTTTCAATCGTAAAATTGAAACTACCGTCGTGTTCATCTTCGACCCTTGAACAAAACCCAGTAAACCAATTATAGCGAAACGCTGTCAAACAATATGAATTTCGAGTCAAAGTCTCGACGTTTTATTAGCACCACCGCCGAGAAAATCTTAAATTCATCTCCGATCGTTGATCGGTTTTCGACACCTCATGCACCATCGTGTTTCTTGTGTCGTTCCGAGTCCAACGGTGTCTTACTTGTCTCCGTAAGCGGTGGCTCATGAGGGAGGTGAGCGGTTAAAGTTCCGATCGAGTTGAAATTGAGCTCTCCACAGTTCAAAAATTTGAACCGAGGTTGGTAAGTGACTCAAAATCGCTTAAAAGAATTTTTAAAAATTTTTGCAGGAATTTTTGGAGACCGGAGTCGGTCTCACGCGCCCCCACGCGTCGTCCCTGCGCGTGGGGAAGATTCGAACTGGGGGTTGTTATAAGTTGACTGGCTTGACCGGTCCGAACCGGTTCGACCCGACCCGTTGACCGACCCGTTAACCCGACCCGATGATATTCTGGGATTTTTTTTAAATAGTGATATTTTGGGAATTTTTTTAAAACAGTGACATTCAGGTAATTATTGTTAAAACGGTGACATTTTGAGATTTTTTTTGTGTAAAACAGTGACATTTTGGTAATTATTTTAAAAAAAAGTGATATTTTTATAATTTTCGACGGTGGACTATTGAACCCCTTTGACCATAACTTTGATCGGCGATTAAACGACCTTTGATTTTGTTCGAGTATACCTATTCTGATATTTTTCGACGTGCCGAATCCGTTTCTGAAGTCCGCTTCGCTAAATTTGAACCCGAAGGCCTCCAAATCATCAGTCAAACCCGTTGACTTTGATTTTGACCAAGAATTTGAATTTTCGAAAAGTCATACTTTATGTTTTTTGACGTCCTGATTCCGATTTCGCAATCAGTTTGGTCAAATTCAGACTCGAAATATTCCAAATTGATAGTCAAACCCGGAAAATGCTTATATACTTAAGAATTTTAGCTTTGAACAATTAAGTAAGACTTGAGGTTGATAAATTATTATTGTTTGAAGGTATAAGAGACTCTCCGGATCGTTCGACAGCTCGACCAAGCTATTTTAGATCAGTTAAACCACGTGTGCCAATATTCACCCGTAAGACCCGTAAATTTTATAATTTTAGAGATTAATTATGTTACCCATTAGTAATATAGTGATATTATAAATTAGGTTCAAAAACTGTAGTAGAGTGTGGTGAGACCAACAATCAGTAGATCTACTATTTGAACCTATTATCGAGGTGTGTTCCCTATTTATTACTGAACTGTTTTATTTGTTTTAATATGTGGTACACTGAATTCTTTAGTTATTGTTTTATTGATGCACCGATTTAATGTGATGGTTTATGGATTATGACTGCTATATGATTTTTGTTTTAAAATGGTATATGATTACCATATTTATGGATTTATGGAATTTATGTCACAATGCAATTGAATTTTTGGAATACGAATTTATAAAGTACATATCTGATGAAGCTGGAAAATTTTACGGACATAATATGACTCTTAGGTAGGCTGTGCGGCCCTGAGATCATTCTCGGGTAGGCCCTGCGGCCCTAAGATGTGTTCTTAGGTAGGCCCCACGATCCCGAAATCTATCTTGGGTAGGCTTTCAGGCCCTAAGATGTTCCCTTATGGTAACTCTTTTATGAGATTTACTGCAGTATAATTTTATGAGATTTACTGGACTATGATTTGTTTAGTGTACCTATCATGATTTTCTAGTAATGTTGGGACACACTAAGCCTAGCTCACTTTTCGAAAATATTTTCCCCTTTCAGATACTATTGGTTAGATTCACCTGATCGAGCACTTGGAGGATCAACATATCTTTTGAAGTATATCCTATTGTAATGATTTATCTTTAAGTTAACACGATTTTGGTAACATGTGCCTTATTTTAAAGTATTGGATTTTATAATGATTACTCATTTACTATTTATATTTGATTTATCGTAAATTTAGATTTTTAAAATATGTTTATATTAATTTGTTTTTTTTTTCATTATATTTATGAGTTGTGTTTTTATAGTATAAATTATTATAATTTCATAAATGTATTTTATAATGTGATTTTATTTTAATTGAATAATGGTTTCGGAAAAATATCTTTAAGAATAATGAATGTGATCCACTAGACTTAGTCGAAACGCATAGGCCGGGTCTAGGGATTACAAAATAAGTCCCTCTACTAAATAATTTACCAATCAAGTCCTGTTTTCCGTAAGTGATGATTGGAAATGATGAAAGACGAGTAGCAGGGTGTAATAGGTTTATACTCTCGTAATATAACAGCATTCTTCTATAGATGCAAGGAAAAATGGAGCAATAACTTCAGTATTCAAAGGTTGAAATATTATCTCTTTCATTGTCATGTATTTTGGCAGAGTAATTGCCATTACATCAGACGCACCTAATTCTTACCGCTGTTAATGTGCAGTCTAAGACTGAATATATTAGAATCATTTAACATTATTGTAGATACTCGTTTTTGTCTGGGTCTATAAAAATATTTTATTATAGTATATTTTATTATTATTATTATTATTATTATTATTATTATTATTTATTTTTGCAGGCCCCACACTCAACAACCCTGATTTAGTAAGATTCAAAAAATAAATCAACGTATTTGAGTCCTATTGAAACACTAAAACTGAAGCATTTTGAGTCCAAGTAGTACTTTAAATTTGAGCTAAAAATAGGTTTCTTTAGACTATAAATAGACTCAAGCATCAAAAGGAAAGGACACAGAGAGAAAAACGTAGAACCAAAATTAGAGAAAGAGACAACGATTTGAAAAAATCGAGGGAAGAAAAGGAAAAAAAAATAAACGTGGATGATCCAAAGCCAGTATCTAAAAGCACGAAGAGTGGCAGAGCATTTTCATTGCAAATCCAGTTTCTCTACACGCAAAATATGAGAGATGTAACAACTTTTAACTTATTATTTTTATTTTATTTTTTATTTATTTACTTTATATATATTTTTCATTTTTTCCTAATTTTAATATTTTTTAATTTCTGTTTACATTGTTATATATATATATATATATATCATTTTTTATTAATATTATTATATTAATATTTTTTATTATTCTTTTCTTATGTTTATTTTTTTTACAATCTAACACTTTTAACTTTTTAGGGATACTTTCAATCGATCAAATGTAATTAATTCGAATTGAATTTTTAAATTTCAATTTAAATTTTGATTTTCGCGATTAAGACAACCGATGAATTAATTGGTACCGAAAGGGCAGTTCAAGGGTGCTAATCATTCCTTGACTATAACCGACTCCCGAACCTGACACATTTCTGGTAAAGCGTAGATCAAGTAAGATGGTGTTTGATCCGCCTAAATATCGTTTTAAAGTGATCGGTGGCGACTCTAACCCAATTATTCAAGTCGAAGCCCAATTCCGGGCCCAACCGAAAGACGGTCGCGACAGCTTGGCGACTCTGCTGGGGACAGGTAAGTGAGTCAGGCCAGAATTGATTTTCGGTTGTCTTTTTATGCGAAAATAGTAAATTTAAATTTATTTATTTGATTCCAATTATTTAGCTTTGATTATTTTTCAAATAAATAGTTGTACTGACGTTTTTTAA